AGCATTTATTGTTTTGTGTTTTTTGGATTAATGCTAGCCTTGTTGGGGTGAGATGATATCTTATTGTAGTTTTGATCTGCATTTCTCTAATGGCTAATGATCATGAGCATTTCTTCAAGTGTCTGTTAGCCACCTGAATATCTTCTTTGGTGAAGTGCCTGTTCATATCCTTTGCCCATTTTTTAATTGAGTTATTTGTCTTTTCGTTGTTGAGGTTTTGCAGTACCTTGTAGATTTCAGAGATTAGACACTGATCGGATTTGTCTTAGCCAAAATTTGGATTGGTATTGTATTGTATCTGTAGATCACTTTGTTGGAATTGACATTTTCACAATGTTGAGTCTACCTATCCATGAGCAAGACATGTTTTTCCACTTATGCAGGTCTCTTTTGGTTTATTGCAGTAGTGTCTTGTAGTTTTCATTGTATAGATCTTCTACATCTCTTGTTAGGTTTATTCCTAAGTATTTTATCTTCTTGGGGACTATTGTATATGGTATTGATTTGGTGATTTCCTCTTCGAGGTTCTCTTTGTTGGTGTAATTTTTAAAAGCTTTTGAGTTTGAAGTTATGATATCCTGAATCTAAAATCTAGCTGCAGAACAATCCAAGCAAAACAATTTACCAAATATTTTGCTTGGATTGTTCTGGAGCTATATTTTCAAATATTCTTGAAAGCCAAGAGAAAAAGCAAGATTTGGAGTTGCAACTATAGTACCAGATAGAGCAGGATAGTTTGTGAATATGGTGCTTGATCTCCCTGAGTTCACAGTTCTGTGGGGAATATTTATTCTTCTTTACAGGAAAAATCTGATGTACCCTAAGTAACTTATAATTGTGTGACCATAATTGAAAACAAGGCTTACAATATTTAAGAAAAGAAAAAGGATATCTAGAAAACTACCGGGCAGCATACTATCTGATAGGGTAAAGGCACATATATAGCCTATATTTAGAATGCGGTTGTCATACAAGAATGATATGCCTTGTGAATAAATTACATATTTAATAGCAGACCACAATAGCAATGTTGTTGTTATTGTTAGGTGTTATCGAATCGATTCCAACTTATTGCCACCCTATGTACGGTAGCAATATTTAAGCATTATTTGTTTATTAAGTACAGAATAAGTGGAGAAAGTAATACTAATAAATATTCAACATCTAATTTTGGAAAAAAGAACCAAAAAACTTGAAATTTGTTGCGTTCATTCTACAGTTTATTCTGAACTTTATATTATTAACTTTGAATAGTTCCAGTAAATGCCTCCCCATGTGACATTTCAGCCATTGCCACATGGCTAAAACAGGTGTAAACAAAGCCTGTTTTCCTTCTTCCCTTGTTGGCTTGAAAATTACCTTCACTAGACAGTGGGATTTGGATATTGAAGACACTCATTCCAGTACTTCAGGATTTGTTAAAAACTTCGTGTTTTAAAATTAGTAATATCCAATATTATTAAATATTATATCTGATAATTTCCAGTATGGTTTAGATATTGATGACACTGATTCCAGTACTTTAGGATTCATTAAAAACCTTTCTGAATATCCACATGATTAAGGAGAAACTGATTTTTGTGTTAATTAAATATAATTTCCACCTTTGTTAGATTCACATAGTATATATATTCATTAACAAAACAAAACAAAACCCATTGCCGTCCAGTTGATTCCAATTCATAGTAACCCTATAGGACAGACTAGATCTGCCCCATAGGGTTTCCAAGGAGAGGCTGCTGGATTTGAACTGCCAAACTTTTGGTTAGCAGCTGAGCTCTTAACCACTGCACCACCTTAAATATATTCACAGTTGAGTTGCTGTTTCTTAGAACTTGTCTGGTGCTTGTGTTCCCAGATGTCAGTGCTATGGCCATGCTGATACCTGTGATACAAAGAGCCAGCCGTACAGATGCCTCTGCTCTCGGGAAAGCTTCACGGAAGGACTTCACGTGAGTCTTCTGTTTTATGCATGGAAATCTAAAATACAAAAATAGCAATAGAGACTATAAATTCTATAAACTTAACTTTAGCAGAGCTTCTAGGCATAAATAAACAAACATAAATTAACATGAACCTAAAATGTATGTTATCTCAGAGAACTTTTTTTGTTGAGAAAAATAAAAGCCATCGATATAGTTGGAAATTTTGTTTTTAAAGACACTCAGATAAATTACAACTGAAATTAAACACTGAGGTTTTATTTCTTTTTCTTTCTTTTGTCAGCGCTATCATATTTTTTAAAATAAAATGTTTAAGGTGTTTGGATAGCATGACATTAAATAAAACATTGTCTGATTCCTGTATCTAAAGGATGTCTATATAAAGGTGTCTAGACAATGTATACACATTGTTTGTTAAGTAAGATGCAGGGAAATCCTTAAGTATTTGCCTCCATCAAGTTGATTTTATTGATGATATCAGTAATTCATTTTGGAAATCTGTAGTAAAATGACTTAGGAGTTATGTTACTATGTCTGTAGTGGTCAGGTGAAGTTTCATAGTTGAGGTTGAAATTTAGCTGTGTCTTCAGGAATAAGAGATAAATGGAAAAAAAATATCGAGGGATATTTGTTGATATTCATGTCCAGGATCAACATTAGCAATAGCTGATATGAAAGAGGGTACAAGAGCAGCAGCAATGGTACCAATAGTAAAACTATATAGTATGGAGTTTCCAGTAAATGGTGTTTGGGGCAATTGGTTTACAATTTGCAAAAAAATAAAGTTAGTCCCTCACGGCATGTACAAAAATCCAGGTGGCTTATAGATGATAAATATGAAAATAATGGTAAATCTATTAAACTAAAGATTTGAAGAAGTAAAACAAACAACCAAATTAAGATCCATGGAGGAATTTATGGACATATTATGTCATGTAAATATTTAGAATTCTGTCCAGTGTAAGGGATGAGGTAACTAAAGCGTAACCATAAGCTATGGACTGATAGAAAATATTTATATCATATTAGCAGGTGAAAAGTTAAAATCCTTAATAAACAAAGAACACTGACAAAATAATAACAAAAATATAACAACCTAATAAAAATGAGCAAATATAGAAACAAACAATTTGCAAAGAAAGAAATGATCATAATCAATGAACACATGAAAGGATATGAAACCTCACTTTTAATCAGAAAAAGGCGAATTCCAATAAAATATTGTTTTTCATCTATCCATTTATCAAAGACTTTAAAATTTAATAACATTTAGGGCTTCTGAGAATATAAACGTTTTATACACCATTAATGGGACTGCATATTGGTACCATATTTTTAGTGGGTACTTGACTCTATCTTTTAAAATTAAAAATTGCAAAGGCAGTGAACTCCATTACATAATTACTGTCATTCTAAAAAGCAATTATCCAAAGACAAGTGTAGTGGCATGGTATATTTGTATCTTTTGTTACGTAAACATGGGCTTATATGTTACTGTACCTTAACTTGTAAAATAGCAGCACTGTCTCTTAGACTGTTTCTTAGACTTGTGAATTTCCCTGCCGCCTAGACCTTGCCCTGTTGTACTTGGATTTAGTTACTCACTCCACTTCTCTGTGCAGTTTGTCTTAGGATATTCTAGAGGATCTTCTTTTTTACAAATTACCTGTCAAGGTTTTTGTGAATTCTATTTCTGTCTTCCGAGATTCTTAATCTGATCTAATTGGTTTTCCACTGCAACACTACTCTGTATAGTTCAATGACAAGGACATTTTCTAAAACGCAGGCTTCCTCTAGCACACTGCATGAGGTAGCCCGGCTGCTCAGTTTTAACAGAGTCTGATTTGGTTCCAACCTTCTCTCTATGTGCTCAAACTGAAACTTGTATGTTCTAATTCAGACATCCCTTTGAATATATTCTCCAGATCACTGGTTTATATCATTGATCTTTTTCTTTATATGTTTAGTTTTCATCCTAGCTAATAATTCTTTTGAAAGAAAGATCCTTGTCTTTTTACATTTTTGAAATATTTCTAAGTTTTAAAGTCTTGAATTTGGTCTGATGAGTATATCATAAGGTAAAATATTTTTGAAAAGTATTGACTTTAAGGTGTTTGAGTGTATGGCTTATTAAATTGTCACATAAAAGAAATTAATTGGATTAATTTGATTCATTCTTTATGGAGCCATTATTGTGTGTATGTGCATATTTAGATTTTTTTGTGCTTAGGTTTTTGTCTGTTAGCTTTGTTCTAGATTTTAAAATGAAGGTGACGTCTAATCGCAGTTTCTTCCTAGCGTCTTCTTTTTTAATCCTGTAAGATTGACACTTCTTCCCTTTCCTTATAATCAGTGATTTTTTTCATTAACCTAAAAACCCATTGCTGTGGAGTTGATTCCAACTCATGGCTACCCCATATGTTACAAAATGGAACTGCTCCATAGGGTTTTCTTGGCTGTAATCTTAGTGGGGGCATTCTCCTAAGGCCTTCCTTCCATGATCCCACTTCACCCATTGCCATTGAGTCGGTTCCGACTCATAGCAACCCTATAGGACAGAGTAGAACTGCCTATAGGGTCTCTGAGGAGTGACAGGTGGATTCAAACTGCCAAACTTTTGGTTAGCAGCTGAGCTCTTAACCACTGCACCACCAGGGCTCCATGGTACCACTGGGTAGGTTTGAACCACTAACCTTTAGGTTAGTAGTCAAGCACAAACCATTTGTGCTACCTGCAGATCTTTTCATTAACCTACCTCTCCCTCCTAAAAATATAAACACCCACTAAGCACCTAATTAAGAAATGCTCTGGGATGAATAGGGCAACTTATTCTGAATATATCTAGTATACGTGAACTAATGTCTGGCTAATGTTTTCACATCATGTCTTGTTTTCTGAGTGTCTCTTGCTTTATGTCTCTCTGTTTCTCTCTCTCAATGTCCTGTCTTATTATTTTTCTTTCTGTCTCTCTTTAATTGCTCACAGTTAAGTGTTTGATCTTTTATGATTCGTGGATGACTTTATGCTTCCCCTTAAAAATAGAGCCATTAAATGAATCAAGGCTCATGATTGGTTTCAAAAGTCAAGTTGGGATTTTCACACTTGGTCTCAGGTGGTGACTGTTCGCTTTTGAGGTAGAGAAATAATCGACTCTAATTTCAATTTGGAATACATATTATGCTTCTATTTAGACAGTAAGTGCCTTTTGAAAACACAAGTGAAAAAGTAGACTTTTGTGTTATTTTCCTCCTTGCCATATTTTGATAATTCATTAATTTATCCATAAATAAAAAAAGCAACAATTATCATTCACTTAGCAAAGTCTGGCCAATTCAGCTAAAGGGGAAAAGTCAATAGACTGTGCTAAATTGAATGATTTTTCAGTCCTATGAAATTTTCCACAATGAAAACGAAAAATGATTTTATAAAAGCATTCGTAAACATTACTTTCTCTGTTTGCTATAGTTCAAACTATTGTAATACATGTGGGGACTTGTGTGTCTGAGAAAATTTGTCTTAAGCTAATTTTAAAATGCACCTATTCAAATGCTTTTCACATTGTTTCACTTTTTAAAATAATAAGTCTTAATATAAGCCATTCATTTCCTATTGGAATCAATGGTTCTTTTTAAAGACCTGGACATAATCCAAAAAGAATGTCTTCAATTTCACAATATTATGCTAACCATTAATAATATTACTCAATAAACAGAGCTTTTGTGAATTATATTACAGCCATTTGCCAAACAGCTGAAAACGTCAGCCTTGAGAATATGCCAGTTCTTGGCAATTGTCGTTCCTCTGAGAAAGTGTTTTTAGCAGAAGTGAGAATGAATGAAGTGGGAAGAAAGGACTAGAATGGTGAATTCAGGAGCATGTTCATATAGGTAGCCATTCTAGAGAAGTTTCCTTATGTAACTTTCTTCAGTAGTTTATAAAGTTGATGTCACAAAATGGTGGTCCACAGGTAGGAATGGGATTTAAACAAACTATAATTTAATTTTCAACAGGGAATTTCATTTTTTGTTTTGTTTTGTTTTGTTTTAATTTCTGGCTTCTCTTAAATGATCAGAAGGAAATTCAACACTGTGTCCTTTTTCCTTTATGACAACAACTGACTCAGGATAGCAGTTACCTCTTTAGAGCAGTATCACTCTTCAATTTCCCACCATATACACCATTATCTATAGCTCTTGACAGCTAACTGAAAGGTCAGCAGTTTAAACCCACCAACTGCTTTGTGGGAAAAAGATGTAGCAGTCTGCTTCTGTAAAGATTTCCAGCCTTGGAAACCCTGTGGGACAGTTCTACCCTGCCCTATACGCCACTCTGAGTAGGAGCTGACTCAATGGCAATGGGTTTGGTTTTATGGGGGCACCCTTACTTCTGGGTGGCCTCACTTATTTATGCCATCTAACTGGTCTTCAAAGACATTTGAGCTTGTGAACCTTATAACCAAATATTATTAATAGATTTATATTAGTAGTTAGAATACGTAAGTTATTCTGGGTATAGCAAAAGATCAGCTGGCTATTGCCATAGCTCCAACCACCAGTACTCGTATTTCTTTTATCTCTCTATAAAAAATAAAAACTTGCAAGGCAGAGCCAACATGGTGCTATAGACAGAAGCACCACACCATCCCTCCACAGCAAAGACCTGAAAAATTAGGTAAAACAGAGACAAACGTCAATCCTGGAACCCTAAGCGTCAAATGAAGAGATAAAAGACTCAACCAAGTGCCAAATGGAATAAGAAACTGACAGGGAACAGAGGGTGAGGAGAAATAAGGAGCAGAGGTCCCTTATCCGCTAACGCAACACAGATTTGCCATCTTGGACTCCTGATGGAGATTGGCAGACAGGGAGTATGGGAAAGCAGCTTCATGCAGCTCCTAGAAAGAGATGGAGCACCCAGTAACCAGCTATACATGCTTTCCCATCCCCCACTTTTCCTTCCCCTGATCAACCTCTACCACTTCCCAGTGGGCCACGGTCACTGGGCCGGGA